TAAGTTTGCTTGGTACTATGCTATAAGCCCTAAGTGACCACGACCTTCTACCGTGCGGTGCATTATAAGGCCTTTATTTCCTCTTTTAGGAGGGATGCCCTGATTCACAATCGCACTTTTTTTGGTAGCGGATTTGGTGATTGTGTTGCACTCACTTTCAACACTGAGTGAGTTAAGCCAACTTAGGATCGTGTCACCTATGGTCGGATAACGTAGGCTCAAGACTCTGGCCTGGATTTGAGAAGAAGGGTTTAGAAAACAAGGGGCATAGAGTTTTTGAAAGAGTGTTTGGAAGCAAGATTTAGAGAGATTGAAAACAACGTTATATGGGTACAAGCAAAATGACAACACAACTGTTTAGATAGCATATAACTTTTTGGGTAGAAAGAATTTGAAAACTAGTCGCATCCCCTTGAGTTCATTTTGAGGTGATTTAGGTATGGTAGACCTAGAGGTGATTTCTCTGAACGGTCATACAAAATTCGGATGGGAGGAGTTGACGACTGGTCACATCCCCCTATATTACATTCTGGGACTTGATTCTGCCGAAACGTCATATACTTAGAAAATACAAGAAAAAAATTATACAACATGAAAGCAATAATGAAAAGCGATAAAGTGATACAAGGCAAGGGTTTTAGCATGTAACGGGCATGCGGTCATGAACAACACGCCTTGGACGAGCATCATCGTGACACTCTGCACTATGTCTCACAAGACGAATGTCGTGATGGGCCCCATGTTTTCCTCACCTAGTTAAGATGTCCTGTGTCATGTATTACTAGGAGAACGTCAAGATCATGTTTTGGACCAATCACGTGACCATCTCGTAGTCTAGGCCCACATTAGGGGCAAATACCAAGTTGATCGTCATGAACCCAAACCAAGTTATATCTTAGGTCTTTGGTTACTCAAGAAGACATAGTACACTAGCTCATAGACACGATTAAGAACCTACGAATAGACTACTTAATGAGTCTTTGTACTCCCTCCATGTTTTCTATATTTTTTTAGCCAACTAAGGAGCTAGTCATCGGAGGGAGCGGACTTTGGAGTAGGAGCCATAGATTAACCACCTGGATCTCCAACTTTGTTTTATCTTAAATGTCTCGATCTCCAACTATGTTGTCTTAAATGTTTTGAGTCCCTTAGTTATTTAAAACTATATTTTAAATGTTTTGTTCCCTGTATTTTCAAGTCATGATCTATGCTCTAGGAATCTTTGAAATCGAGGCATGTCATTCAATGTTTTTAGAAACTCAACGGTCTACCTATTCACAAAATTGATAATTGGACATAAAATTCAAATTTATATCTACTAATCCAATAACTTTTAAAAACTTTGAACATGTTAGGAACCTACTCGACACAAAATTGAAAGTCCATTGTCTTCTTTGAGTATAATTTTTCTGTTTTGAATTTCACTATCCTCAAGTAAGAATTTGTGGGTTTTTCTACCGTGATAAAATATCTTAACCAATTGATCTACGTTTCAGTTGACAATTTAATTTATATTAAATGAAAACGTAATTATTTCCTAATTATTTTATGTTTTAATTATATAATCCATATTTGATTTTTTGAATTTAATTGACCCATCATTCATTATGAACAATGCCCTCAATTAGTGCAATGGAACATGCCCATGGTTCATTTTTTATTTATCAATTGACAAGATATCATTGAAATTGACAACCCAACTTATCAATTACCTTTTGATTATTCACTATGGATTTATAATTATGTGATAAAAATGGAATTAAACATATATAAATTATTACTAATCATGATTACAAATATAAGCTCTTAGTGACTTTCCACTTCAAATATAAGCTTTATTTGTCAAAAGAAAAACACATGATTACAAGAAATATTGTCTCTCTTCACTATAACTAATAGAATATATTTTCATTCAAAGAAAATGGTTTCATTGTTACATATCGAGCATTTTTTAACTCATTTCTTATTATTGCCACCCGACTACACGACTCTCCACAATCGTATGATATTTCTCCACTTTGAGCATAAGCTCTCATGCCTCTCATTCCAATGGAGTGCATTCCATTACCATCCCTAAATTAACCGAAGATTTGCCCATCTATTGGCACGACTAAGTTTAGGACATGGCTCTAATACCATGCTAGTCGAACACAACTCTCCACAATGGTACGATATTGTCTAATTTGAGTGAAAGTATTCTTTGATTATAAACCCATGACCATCCCCTAAATTAACTAATGTGGACACTTTCATCCAATTAAGATCCAATAGAATCTATTCCATTGACCAAATGTTTGAATTTCACTCCACGTATTATTAAACTAAATGAATAAGATATAATAATATGATCCATTCATTACATTGGAAATATAAGAAGAAAAGAAGTAATGAATAATTTATTATTTAACCCAACAAAAGAGTTCTTGAATAAGATAATACAAAGTTTCGGCTTTCTATACAAGAAACCGGTAACGATTTGATTTTTTAAAATCTTAAATTGATATAGGTTTGTGGTCATCTGTATGCGTAGGTTATTGGAATAATAGCAACAGCTACAATCGATATAGGAATCAAGAAACTCAATAACAAAAGCTACAACATGTGAGCAACATGCATGATGCCTATCTACAAGGATAAGACCTTTGGGAGGCTGTTGCCGAAAACGAAACTACTCCCATTGGCCGACGATGGAAAGGGTGAAGAGTGGAGTCTATTTACGTGTTGTAGAGCTGGCCTATGTAGGTGAAACTCAGAAGTATGAAACAACAAAGTTATGACACACATGGTTGGAACATGTTGGCTACCACACGTTGAAGGTGATTATGGAGAAATCCATGCTCAAAGATCTACCTCAACTTGAAGTCAAAACATATATGGTTTCGGCTAGATGTCAGTATGGTAAAACTCATCAATTACCAAACAAGGAGTCAAAGTTCAAACCAAAGAAACCATTAGAGTTAATTCACTCTAATTTATTCGGTCCAGTCAAGCAAAAATCAATTAGAGGGATGCAATACATGGTGACATTCATTGACGACTACTCGAGATATGTGTGAACTTTCTTCATGAAAGAAAAGTCTTACCCATTCCCATAATTTTAAGAAATCAAGACAATGATTGAAAGAGAAGTAGAAATGAAGATTTGTTGTCTACGCTCAGATAATAGCAAAGAATACAGTCAAATGAGTTTGATCAATATATACACAACTGTGGATACACCTAAACTGATGCCAAAACGCTACAAAAAAAAAATGGTGCAGCAAAAAGAAAGAATAGACATCTTGCAGAGTTTGACAAAAAACCAATCAAGTGTATATTTGTTGGATACGACCATCAAAGAAAACGGTGGAACTGTTGTGATCCAACAAGTGGAAGATGCTACACTTCAAGAGATGTAATTTCTTTTTATGAAGCATCTTCATGGTGGTTCTCGAAGAAGAAAGTCTTACCAGACTCGAAGAATATTGAAGAAAATCTACAACAGAAGACGGGGGAGCAAACTACACACATTTGGTCAAGTATTGATGCGTCTGAAAATTCAATTGATAGTGTTGCTCGTGAGCAAGAAGTAACTCAACCAAGTAAACTCGGTGAAATTTTATTTGTACCAACAGTCGATTTCTACTTAACCTAAAGTTGCTACTGTATACATATCATAATCATATTATGCCAAAATACTTCATTCAAAACTTTACTTTTTATAGTCATGGACTTACATGTTTTCTAGAAGGTATTTAAATAAAATAACAAAAGTTGAAATAAAATAAAATGGAAATGTCTTATCCTAACATATATACTACGAAATTAAATGCATACTAACCTATAGTCTACGAAATTTAAATTGCAAACTACTCTATACATGTGTCATATGCGATGCCACCGTCAACCGTACATGGGAGGCTTGCTTTTACCTAGAAAAATAAGAGTAGTACATGACTTGAGTATTTTAAAAAATGCTTAGTAAGTGACCCCGCTGTTGGGGTTAAACGCAAACACATCCAATCATATCAGTCTATATTCCTTAAACGGCTATCTAAGTGGGTAATTGGATGTGTATTTATTGTTTTACACACGGTCCACACGTACGAGTATGGACCCACCAATCGGTTTGCACAACTCCTAACACCTTTGGAGCTGTTGATGTCGGATACCCATTAGGAATAGCGACTATCGCAGCATTATAATAAATATAATGATCGTTTCCTTGTCCTGTAGCGTACGCGTCCGTACTGTCGTAAAAAATAAGAAGGGGTATCCCTCGATGCATGAACATATAATGATGCATGAGGTCTCAACATTTTTTCATTTTGTTATCACCTACAACAACCCCTCTTCTGTTTTCCTTTAAATCACATCATTTTATCATAACTTTTCATACATATATTGAGATTATGCATTATGTCAATACGTCATTATGCATGTCAAACATATCATATATCATATCATGTCAGACATATGACATATCATAACATATCATGTCTTCTAACATATCATATCATTCTATGGACATATCATATCGTACACCATGTCACAACATGCGTCGTATGTCAATCAATTAGGTCATAACATATATCATAACATTCATATTTCATGTCACAAGCATATCATCAAGCATATCATATAATCTCATAACATGTTCTATCGTTTCATAACATATATCATCTAATTCACATATCATGTCGTAACCTTTCACATGTAGTAAGCATATGACACATGCAAAGTCACGGGACACGTGTCATCCTACAACATTCAAGTTATAACCAAACCGATAGTAAGACCATTTACTTGGTTGGCCTTAGCCGGCGTTCTCCGTAAAGTAATTACTCGAGCTCGTCATTGAATTTTTATTGAGAGTTATTTTTATTGTTTTAATGATATGTAAAATACAATAAAAATAATTTTAACTAAATAAATAGTCTGGTTGGACGAAATAATTTTTATTTTCACAATTCATTAAGGGAAGAAAAAAAAAAAGAAAAAAATTAAACAAAGGAAAAGGAAATGAAAACGAGAACCCACCCCTGCCTCCCTAACGCCGAGTCCGAAGCCAATCCGGTGGCTCTTCATTCTTCAAAGGAATCAAAGACGAGGAATGAGGGATTGACGGATCTGTGCTGTTCAATCCCTCTGATAAGGCAATCGCTCGTATTCCCCAAGTTGAGGAAACAAAGTGATCGGTATTCCAATTGGGAGAAGTAGATGGGGAATTTGTTCGTCAAGAAGCCCAAAGTCACCGATGTTGATAAAGCGATTCTTTCTCTCAAGACGCAGAGACGCAAACTAGGTCAATATCAACAGCAGGTTTTCAATTCATCCCCTACTCTTAATTTACTCCTGCAGTTGGATTCTTTAAATTGCGTATGAATGAAACTGGATTGGAGAGAACTGAATATGTTTCTGGAATTGCAAGCCGTGGTAAAATGTGTGTTGTTTGTGTGGCTGTTAAGAGCATAACTTTAGCATTATTAGGTAGAATAAATTGGTTTATAAGACCCTTTTCGTGTTTACTTTCAGCCCCATACTTTGTTCTCTCCACAATGATATGATATTGTCCAATTTAAGCATAAGTTCTCATTGTTTGCTTTGGGCTACCCCAAAAGGCCTCATACCAATGGAGATGTATTCCTTACTTACAAACCCATGAAGGATTTCCCCGTTTGCTTGTATGTTCAAGTTCTGCAGTTTGAAAACGCCTCTGGGAAAATTATTGAGAATGTTCTAACCTTTAGATGATGTAATTAGCTTATATTACAAAGGTATTTTGCAGTTACTATCTAATTCTTGGAATTCCATGAAGCTCTAGGATTTATTACTGATGGTGTGTTTTCTAGTTCGAGAAGTTTTGAGCTAAAAGAACATGATAAATGTTATATTTTCTTTGATTGTGACAAAAAGTTAACCCATTCATTGTTGGTTAATGCATGTATGTGCTGGAGTAGTTCAGATTCAGACCTACGCTTGGGTCTCTGTTACCAAAAATTCTTGGGATTGTCCTTTCTCCCTCCTTTTGAACTGGAACTTTCTTTCTTTTCTTCTTCTTCTTCTTCTTCTTTTTTTCCTTGTGTTGATCTTGTATATTCTCATTTTATCTGTGAAAGTTGGTTATCCCCCTTTCATAAACCGCAACCTTGATGATCTTGTTAATTGGAGAGCTTTTTATGTAACTCTATCTGATAGGATTTCTGGTATTGGTATTCCCTTTTGCAATATTCAATATCATCAATAAGATATTTACTTCTCCTATCAAGTAATTTAATAAAATATTTGTTTCCTATATCAACAGATAAATAATAGAATTAGAAGATGAGAAGAAAGAACAAAGGAGATCAAACATGACTTTGAGAAGGCGTATGAGAGACTCTTTGATAGTGACAAGATTGATGTTTCTTACTTGCAGTTTTGGATACACTGTGTTTTGTAAGGATAGATAATGCTATAAAGACTGTTGAATTTATCTCAGACCTGAAGAATAATTAGGCAAAATCAGCAATAATAACATTAGTTTAGAAGATTTAAAATTGGAGGATTCGACTTTTACAATCGAGTTGCACAGTTAAAGAACTACTTGTGCTTTTTCTGCAGTTGCCACTAGAAGGTAATTGAAGATGACCTTTGATATATGTTCTTTGTATGAAGACTAGTGTAGACGAAGATCATGTTTTCTTCCATTGCCCTATAAATGCTCCAAGAAATAGTACTATTCAACTTCTTTGTTATGTCGAGCTCAAAAGCAAAGCCAAGCTGATTTGGGTAGGTGTAGTTAAAGCAATTATCTCATAAATTTTGTTTGAAGTGTCATTTTCTGTTTCTCTTATCCTTCAATTCCTTAAAAATGTTTCCTTTCATTGAAGTTTGAAACTAAAGAACCAGCAAGTAGCAACTGAAGATAGGGCAGTTTTTCAAAAGTTTGATTCATTTCATCAATTGTTTCCTCTGATAGCTTTTTACTTCTTTTCCTCTCTTTGAACGTTTCTCTTTTGCTCTCAGTTCAGCATCCTCATTACCTTATATCACAACACAAAAACACCTTGTTTTCTTTTGTTTGTAGCTAATACTCCAATTTCTGAACTGTTTGAACTAATAAATGTTTTGATTGATCTGGCACTACTGACGGGCATGCAGTGAAATTGCTAATTGATTGTTAAATTTTACTAGAATGGAAAATTATTGTGTATTTTTACTTCCTTTCTTGTATAAAATATTCATGTTCCATGTTTAGACATTATAGAACTAGTTTCCTTTACAAATTATTGATATATATATATATATATATATATTTAGGTTATAATACAATTTTGGTCCATGTACTTTGTAACTTCTTCTATTTTAGTCTCTACACTTTTAGTAAATCTTAACACACCTAATAATTTATAGAGGGAATGGTCATAGAGACTAATTTTCTTTAGAAAAACCATAAATTAACGGTAACACTAATTTTAATATTTATTGAAAGTACAGAGATTAAATATGGATATTTCAAAGTATAGAGACTATAATAGAACAAGTCTTTGAAGTATATGGATCAAAATGATATTTTAATGAGAATTTTATTTGTTTATTTATTCGTGTGCACCTCACTTCACTTTGATGATGCTGTTTTGTCACCTCTTGATGTGAGAGAGGCTTGCCTCCATGGAATGTGTTTCGGTATGCATCTTGTGTTTTGAAAAAAGTATTAAACAAATGTAAGTCTCATTAGTATTAATGCATTTGTTATGAAATTCTTTCTAGAAAACCATGGAACTTTAATGATATCTCATAAAGTAATGCATTCTTTTTTTTTTTTTAAAAAAAAAAAAAGCTTGAGACCTTGAAGATATCCCCTTTCATGATGTTCCAACGTCTTAGTCTATGTAAAGAATTCTCCTAAAAGTCCATCTCTCAAAATATTTATGATTTTCCATATTTCAGAATGGTGCCATAAACTCATCTTTAATGATCTAAATTTAATTTATTCAATATGACATATTGATGAATTATTAGTATTTTCTTCTTGAGTTCAACATGGGGGTGGGGGATTCAAATTGATGAAGTATGTGTATTAATTCACCAATATTTTAAATAACTTTTTAAGTCATCTATGAATCATGGAATTGAATTATGCCTGACCAAAATTATCATTAACTCATAAAGTAAAGTTGCTTTTACCCTGGGCATAAAACCCAGAACCAATAAATAACTTCTGGTTGGGTTTCTTTCATAGGAATGCAAGTGTATTTTACTTTGAAAATTGAATAATTATTTTTTACTTTTCGTGACCTTTTCTTCCCTAGCTTGATGCTGTCATTGAAGCAGAAAAGAACGCTGCAAGAGAGTTAGTTCGACAAAAGAAAAAGGATAGGGCCTTGTTAGCTTTGAAGAAGAAAAAGGCACAAGAAGAATTGTTAAAGCAAGTTGATGCCTGGCTGATTAATGTTGAGCAACAAGTGAGTTCTGTTAATTTTTCCCTTGTCTATTCAAATCTCGTTGTCTTCTCCCTTTTAACTTGAAATTTATACTTTTTTGTTTCTCTTAAAAGTAATGGTTGCATTAGATCTTAAAATCAAGATTTTGGTGGTTGCAATAGTAAGGTTTGGTTTTTTAGTTCCACGTTCAGAATTAAATCGTCTTCTTCACAAAACTTTTTGTACTCTAGAAATTTATGTTCGTGCTTTAATATTGTTGTTGGCTCAGTTGTCAGATATTGAATTGGCCAGCAAACAGAAAGCTGTTTTTGAAAGTTTGAAGGCTGGTAATAATGCTATCAAAGCTATACAAAGTGAAATTAATATAGATGATGTCCAAAAGCTGATGGATGATACCGCTGAAGCTAAGGCATATCAAGATGTAAGTTCGTAAGTTTTTTTAAATTGATTGTTTTATTAGGATCATATCTGAATTTTTTATTCTATTACCTGGTTTACAAGTTAGATTATGGTTACAAGTTATATCTTAATTTTGATGGAATTAAATATTCTTGTATTCCAATAATCTAATTATCAAATAGTAAGATTGATAACCCTCTTATATGGGAGAAAGAGCCCACACGAGACAAAAAAGAAGAATAGACGTGAGATCCCACATCAATTGGAGAGAGGAACGAGTGCCAGCGAGGACACTGGGCCCCGAAGGGAGGTCGATCGCCACATCGGTTGAAGAGGGGAACAAAACTGTGAAGTCCTACATTGGTTGGTGAAGAGAACAAACCACCATTTAGAAGGGTGTGGAAACCTTCCCCTAGCAGACGCGTTTTAAAGCCTTGAGGGGAAGCCTAAATGGGAAAGTCCAAAGAGGACAATATCTGCTAGCATTGGATCTGGGTCGTTACAAATGGTATTAGAGCTAGGTACCGGACTATGTGCTAGCCTTCTCGCTGTTCCCCGAAGGGGGGTAGACACGAGGCGGTGTGCCAGTAAGGACGCTAGCCCCAAAGGGGGTTGGATTTGGGGGCGATCCCACATCGATTGGAGGAAGGAAAGAGTACCAGCAAGGACGCTGGGTCCCGAAGGGGAGGTGGATTGTGATGTCCCACATTGGTTGGGGAGGAGAACAAACCACCATTTATAAGGGTGTGGAAATCTTCCCCTAGTAGACACATTTTAAAGCTTTGAAGGGAAGCCCGAAAGGGAAAGCCCAAAGAGGACAATATCTGCTAGCGGTGGATCTAGGTCGTTACAAAAACATTCTTTATAAGGGCGTGGAAACCTCTCCCTAGCAGATGCATTTTAAAACCTTGAGGGGAAGCCCGGAAAGGAAAGTCTAAAGAGGACAATATCTCTCTCCCTAGCAGATGCATTTTAAAACCTTGAGGGGAAGCCCGGAAAGGAAAGCCTAAAGAGGACAATATCTGCTAGCGGTGGGCTTAGACGGTTATAATAGAATAAAACCATTACTGGATACACCTAATTAAAATATTACTATTAGTATAGCCAATGGTGCATTAGTAAGAAAGTAACTTAACACAATAATTGTTAATTGCTTGCGGAAGATAGACAAACAGATACAATCCCAACAAAATCTGTCTCCAAGTTGGTAATGGCGCCACCACCCTCTTTTGGATGGACGCATGGATCACTACTTTGATATTGGCCTCTCGTTACCCTCTATTATATAGTCTTTCTCGTTGCAAGGACCGGAAATTCTTTTTGAGATTTAAAGCTTGGCCGTAACTTAAAGGACTAGGAGACTATTGAATGGGCAGATCTTATCCTTGACCTTGATTGATTTTACTCTCACAATAACCTTGATTTTAAGGCTATATAAAGTCGTATGTTATATTTGTAAAAGAGACTTAGAGAAGGTAGTAAAAAGAGCCTTTGTGCTTTTTTTTAGCCAATGACTAAGCTTCTTTGTAATTCTATATAGTTTAGGTTGTATGTTTAGAATCGTTCAAGTTTAACATGATCGATCTTGCATGTGGAGTGATTCAAATCTCAATCAAGTGTTCTTGCCTTGAGATATTTGATCAACAAGGTAATCCAAATTTTACTTTCCCTTGGAGTGATTCCTTATCATTAGGACTAAGTGTTCTTACCTTTCCTTTAGCTAAGGGTTAAGTTTCTTTGCAATTTTATGTAGTTTAGGTTGCATGTTTAGAATCATTCAAACTTTACATGATCAATCTTGCTTATGAAACGATTCGAATCTCAAACTAGTGTTCTTGTCTTGAGATATTCGATCAACTCCCTTGTAGTGATTCCTTCTCACTAACAATCTCTCATTTGACCATTTCAATGTTCTCATCACTTAACCTTTATCACAATATGGGGATCTTCTTCTTCCTTAGCTTTTGGTGACAAAATTGCATAATTTTGTGGATCTTTTCTATTTTATTATGCATATATGTTTTATTTTTAGATAAAAGTCTTGCACCCGCTTTGAGGCCCAGACTTAGGAGACATGAAGAAGTTTTCTTATTAAGTTCACTCGAAGATTCGAACATGCAATATCTAGGTAGGTGTTACTTAGAGACTGCTGGCCTTGGGTAATGGGTTGCCTTTATATTGAATCCTTAAGTCAGCATGCTCCTTGGTTTGACCAATTTCTTGATGCAAACTCCTTGATAAACTATCCAGCCTTGCCATTTCAGAAACCCAACACAGAATATGCCCCTATGGTACTCAAGTAATTTGTCAAACAGATACAATCCAAGCACTCTGAAAGCTTGATACTCTCTCCAAATCCAAGCATTTACCTTATCACTATTCCTCGAACTCAGAATCACATTTTCACCTACTAATTGTCTGTTGTTTTTCTAAATATTATGGTTCTGGAAGTATTTGGGTGGTCTTTGGTCATGCCAAGTGATATACCTGATTTCCTTACCTCAATCCTTGTGGGGCATCCTTTCAAATGAACTAAGAAACTTATTTGTTGTGCCATGAATAGAGGAGCTTTTTTGTGGATCTTATGGCGAAAATGAATACTTGGGTTTTCATTGGGTTACAGTCCAACTATTTTTTTTAGTGCTTTTGATTGGTGTAAATGTTCACTACAACGTAATCATTATACTCTTACTACTCTCGTCTGTACTTGGAAATCATTTTTTAACCACTAAGGGTAATTTTTTCTTGATCCTTGGTAATTTGATTCATTAATAAAATAAGATTCTGTTTCTCCTAAAAGAAGAAGAAAAAGAAGAAGAAGAAAAAAAAAAAAAAAGAACTCTTTCCAAACAATTCTCCAAAATATTTCTTATTCTCAATGCTCCTTCTCAACTCACCTTATAATCGATTAACATGTCCTTGAAACATATCCAACTTGCTATCATCAATCGTCCTTTCGAGTATACATTAAACTCGAGAACCCAAGAACTCGAACTGACCCAACCTGAATTATAAGAGTTGGGTTGGGTAAGATAGCATTTTCGGGTTGGGTTGGGTTGTGTTACTAGGACTTGATTCGGTTTGGGTTCAGTGGACAAAGAACTGGATCAACCCGACCTCCCCCTCTCTCTACATACCCCTTTTCTTATTGCATAAATAACAAATTAATTAATTAATTATTATTATTATTTTTTAAATATTGAACAACCTGACAATCCAATCCAATCCAACCCCAAAATAGAGGTTTGGGTAGGGTTAGGTTTTGAAACAAGTTCGGGTTGGGTTGGGTTACCAATCTAACTAACCTAAACTTTTGGGTTGGTCCAAAAATATTTCTCAAACCGAACGGACTCAACCCAACCCATATACAACCCTAAGTGTCCTCACTGACCAAGAGAACACATGGGTTTGGAACATTGATAAAGAGGGTGTTTTCACCTTTGCTACAGCTTTTTGGAATTTGGAATTTGGAATTTGATCATTGCTGCTTTTGGTTGTTAGAACAAGGCTCCCACTCTTTTATTGATTCTACTATTTATTTAGCTCTTTATTGGTGTGAATTGTCTCTATTAGGGTCCCGTACTCTCACATGTCCAAATTTAGTTTCATACTTTCAGAAAATCTTAAAAGTTAGGACTTCGTCGTTGTGCACGGTAACTGAATTAGATTTTTGGGATCATTCTATTCATCTACTTCTTTTATTTAAGATCTGTGCTCCAATATCATTATGTATCCTTTCTCTTGTGCCTAAATTTTATTTATATTTTTGAAGGAAATGAATGCCATCTTAGGAGAGAAATTATCAGAAGAAGATGAGGAGCAAATCTTAGCAGAATTTGAAGGCTTGGAAGCTCAGGTACCATATGTTTTGTTGTCTTATTCATTATTATTTTTCATCCTGCATCATAGGGTCGGTCCATTCAGTCATTTAATTGAACAGAGAAACCCGAATAAGTTATAAACTCATAACATTAATAGCTACGGCTGCTCCCATTCGTCTTTTACTATACTATCTCAAGGCGATCCCCGATCAACCTTTTTCTCAGCTCACTGTTGAAGATCTGCCTGAGGTCCCAACATCCGAAGAAAATGCTGAAAAGTTGGATCTTCCCAACGTACCAACCAAAAAACCTGTTGCAGCGGATGCCATTGAAGAAGATGCTGTAATTGTTTCATCTGATGCCTCCACAAAGAGAAGAGGTCTCTTTTTCTCTCTTTCTCTCTCAGACAAAAAGAAAAGAAAAAAAAAAAGTTACCCTTTTAAATCCACTGGTTTCATAACACATTAAATTTGTTGAATGCAGTTATGGAAGAACCATTGCCAGCATAAGTGTTTGGTATACTTGATCGAGGTTGGTGAAGTGGTTTGTGCTGAGACTCTGTTATTTGCTTTTGTTATTTATTATGTCTCATTCACCAATATGATGTTGTACAGACACTTCCTTATGCACATATATAAATTTATTTTCTCTGTTTAGGGGTCTGTTTTATATATGAAGTGTTTCATTTTGTATAAAAGAAAATTAAATAATAGTTTTTTTTTTTTTTTTTTTT